TTTTTTTGGTGCTGGGGATTGAACTTGAGACCTTGCGCTTATCAGGCAGGCACTTGAGCTATCTCCCCAGCCCACTCAACTGTTTTCTTCTGTTCACTGCCTCCTGCCTTTTAGTTCTCTGCTAAGATCCACATCTCTTGTTATATTTACTGTATTGCTGTTACTGCAGTGTAACAGATTACTCCAAGACTTGGCAGCTCAAAACCTCTGCGTTTTCAAACCAGGAATCTGGTTTAGGTGAGTGGTTCTGGCTCAGGCTGTCAGAGCCACAGTCATCAAGACTGAGGCGAAGCTGAAGAATGCGCATCTGTGCTCACTTACGAGGTTAGTAGCAGGATTCAGGCAGACCAGACCCGCTGGGGTAGAGTGTGTTGGGGACTGTCAAATCGCTGGGGACTCTTTCAGAGGCTGGCCACAGTTACCTTGATCTCTTTTCTTAATTCATACCATATTTGTCCTTTCAGTTTACTTTCTAAAAGTTTCTCATTTAGACTCCTGGGATCTGTTAATGGTTATCTTTGAGTAAATACCACGAGATGCCTAGGCTCAGTGATACTTTTTGATATGTTTAAACTTTGTGAAGTCACAGTAATTTTTTTTTAAAGTCTTATCAAGTGCATTGGAACTTCTCTATGCATAGTGTGGGGGGCTCTGGAGTCTTCATCAGCCTTTTCAGAGGGCAGCTGAGGTCAAAGTGGTGTGTAACAGTATGAAAAAACATCATTTGACTTTTTGGGTACTTTTGCCTTTTGTACTGACAGTGTAAGTACAGTGATAAGTAAAATTGTTAATACCCGGCTGAGGATGTAGCACAGTGGCACAGCACCTGCCTGACTAGTGTGAGGTTATAAGTTCAATCCTCAGTGCCAAAAAAATTTGCTAGTACTTTGACCAGATGGGGGTGGTAGTAAACTGTGCTAGTAGTCATTGTATTCCTCAATACCAGATGAGTTTTCTATTGGTTTTTGAAACAGGGTCTTGCTTTGTAAGTTCAGGCTGACCTTTAGTTACTCTGTAGCCCAAGCTGGCCTCAAATTCGTGATGATCCTCCTGCGTCAGCCTCCCTAGTACTGGGAATGCTGCCAGATGCATTTTTGCAAACACTACCTGTTTGAGGCTGGGTGTGGTGGTGCATGTCTATAATCCCAAGACCCCGGGAGGCTGAGGCAGGAGGATTGAAAATTTGAGGCCAGTGTGTGTAATTTAGCAAGACTTCTCAAAGAAGCAAGCTGTGGCTGTAACTCAGTGTGAAGATGTGAGTTCCCAGTACCACCGAAACCAAACCAACTGACAAATGCCAATTTTGATTAAGGATGACTTTCTTCAAGTAGACATCTACAACTCTCTGTCTTGGTACTAGGGATTGAATGTAGAGCCTTCATACTGAGCCAATCCCCAGTCCATTTTTTAGTTTTTTATTTTGAGACAGAGTCTCCTTAAATTACTAAGTTGCCAAGGCTGGGCCTGATCTTGCAATCCTTCTGCCTCAGTCTCTAAGCACTGACATTACAGATGTATACCACTGCACCCAGCCTCACTGTTGTATTAAAGCCAGACCCATGAGTAAACATCTTTGGAGTACTGTTTTATATGAGGAAGTAGGGAATCAGCCTGTAGCATTTCTGCTGCATACCAAAACATGATAGTATTCAAGAAAAGCACGTACGTGATGGGGCTGAATGTTAGCCGCCCTTTTTATGAATGCCATTTGTATCTGAAAGAACAGTTGACCACACTAGGCTTATTCAGGTGAAGCATTTAGCAGTCATTTTCTTCAAAATGAACAAAGCGAACCTATACTTAAAACAGTTGACAGTGTTTGTTGCTAGTAGCAAATTCAAGCTTTCACATGAAAAGTTAGAATGGGAAAACTTTGGATCAGCAAGATAGCTCAGCAGTCTAAAGTGCCTGCTTCCCGGTTCTGCAAAAAAAAAAAATAAATAAATAAAATTAAAATGCCTGCTTAGGCAGGGGGCCGCGGTTCAGTCCCCAGCACCATATGCTGCGCCAGCCAGAGCAGGGGTGGCCGAGCTGGCCAAAAAGAAAAAGAAAAGAAAAGAATGGGAAACTTGTATCTGTGTGCTTGGTATCTTTCCAACACTTAGATTTTTCTGAAGATTATTGATATTAATTGATTTTTAAAATATTTTTAATTACTAAGTCAACATTTGGAGGTTGTACATAACAGAGTGAATCAGTGTTTTCCAAGTGGTTGGGAAAATTTGTATTAAAATCATTTATGGGGGGCTGGTGAGATGGCTCAGTGGTCTAAAGCACCTACTTAGAACAAGCTTAGCAAAGCACAGGGACCGCGGTTCAA